TATGCCCGAATCTCTCAAACCAAGGCTCTGATACAAACTTGTAACATCCCAAAATTTTATAGCCAAAAAGTTCATTTTTATATTAATAAAACCATCAACCAAACATGTTTATAAAAACCAGAAAGGAAAATCAGAGTATATCGATCAATCATCCCAGATACATCAGAGTCAAATAAGGCAAAAAACATGGTGTGTGTGCAATTCGATCATCCCGAGCTCTTCCCCTTCAATCCGGAAGTACCTGAAACATAAACTGAAAACCGTAAGCACGAAGCTTAGTGAGTTCCCCAAAACATCACATATCATACCTACAATGGGTCTTGCCCTACAATCATCAGGCCCCACCCGACATCGGGCCCCTCCCGGAACAGATTTGGCAATAACATGAAATGAGGCCCGCCCAATCATACTCGTCAACCCCCGCCTCGCATCAGGCCCCGCTTGGTATACATATAGACACATAACATACATGCAAGAATTACTAAGATATACGGCATAAAATACACTCATCAAGCCCCGCCTGGCATCGGACCCCGCCCTGTATATATATCACATACCACATATGCAAGAGTCACACAGACAACTAGCATCCTAATCATAATAAATCATGGGTTGGCATTGGTGCCTTCGAACCGCCAAACATAGTGAGGAGACTCACCTCAATCTGCTGAAGAATTAGATAGATGTTCGGGCTGCCAAATTGGAGAATCCACACGCTAAGCAACAAATAAAATCCCAATTAATCATTGGGCCATAAACCATATTCGGGAATCAAGTTCATTAGTCCTAATACCAAGGGTAAAAGACCATTTAACCTCCTGTCACTTGGCCTAATAATTGAGGCCCAAGACCAGTGACACTAAAGCCCAATAATGGCCCAATTCCTAGAGGACACCCAAAGCTCCATATGTGCCAAAATACAAGAAGGCCCACAGCCTAGCAATGACCCAAGGTCAAAAAAACTAGTGGCCCAATAAGGACCAAAACCCAACATCGCGTCTCATGTTGTGACCAATCCTTGGTCATGTCATGAGAGTCACCCATTCCGAGTCCAAAGACTCGTTCCTGACTTAGACAACTCAGTAAGGGACGGGTTTCGCCTGCTCATGTCGTGAGACCTCATGTCTCATGTCGTGAGAACGGTCTGAAGCCAAAACCAACGTTTCAACGTTCTTAATCCATTCAACCCTTAATTACAACTGTCACAGAAGCTTAAGGGGACCCTAATGGTCCGTAAAAATGCCTGCTTTATGGACATGCATGCACCATGCATGTCCCTCCACCATTTTAGGTCAAAAATAGGAATATGGTCTCAAATTCACATGCAAGCCTCTAATACTACACCAACTTCCAGATCTAAATGATATAAGACTTAAAAGACCATTTGAATCCATAAAGTTGCTAACTTTATGGATATCCTTCACTCCAACAAGCTACAACTTAAAGAAATGGGACCAAAATCCTAGATCTAACCATGCAATGAGATAAAGTTTGAGTCTTGGCACTTACAAAGGGTCCAACAAGGAAAAAGCTGATGATTAAGGTGTTTCCTTGCAACTTCCACCACAATGATACTTCTTCTCCTTCTTTTCTTCTCCTTTAAGCAAGCAAAACACCAAGAATAACCAAAGTTCTCAAAGAAGGTCGAATTTAGGGTTTCCAGGAGGCTTCGAGGGTGAGAGAGGCTGAGTATGTGCAACCGTAGCCTCTCATTCCTTTAAATACCCGAAATATTAGGGTATTGAGTCATCAGGTTGTCCTCACGTCGTGAGAACTCTTGCCTCACATCATGAGACCTCATCAAGATGCGGTCAACTGGTCAACAACTACTCACGATGTGACCATCATGTCTCACGTCATGACCCCTCTAAGAACTATAAATTTAAGGAATTAAATACCTCAAGGATCCAAAAGTTACAGACCAAGGACTAAAATTGACAAAAAGCCATACACATAAAAAGTCTAGGGGCAAAAATGAAAAGCAGCCCCTTTTTACTGTTTACAAAGGGGCTTCCTATTAAATATACAATAAATTTCAAAGAAGGTCGAATTTAGGGTTTCCAGGAGGCTTCGAGGGTGAGAGAGGCTGAGTATGTGCAACCGTAGCCTCTCATTCCTTTAAATACCCGAAATATTAGGGTATTGAGTCATCAGGTTGTCCTCACGTCGTGAGAACTCTTGCCTCACATCATGAGACCTCATCAAGATGCGGTCAACTGGTCAACAACTACTCACGATGTGACCATCATGTCTCACGTCATGACCCCTCTAAGAACTATAAATTTAAGGAATTAAATACCTCAAGGATCCAAAAGTTACAGACCAAGGACTAAAATTGACAAAAAGCCATACACATAAAAAGTCTAGGGGCAAAAATGAAAAGCAGCCCCTTTTTACTGTTTACAAAGGGGCTTCCTATTAAATATACAATAAATTTCAAGTGCAGCTTATGCACAATGCCATTTTTGATCCTGCTTGGATACGACCTGGTATTAGAGCCGAGTTGTTTCTACCTGCCACCCACCGCCATTGAAAGAGTAACAGAAGGGGAAGGATGGTCTTACCTCATTCTTTATTCGGTTAGGGCTCCGACTGTTTCAGCATGTACTCCATCTTTGCACCTTCTTCAAGAATACCTCCAACTATTTACTCTCCCCATTTCACTTCCTACTCATCCGGTCATCGTCTCCCCATTTTCCGTCGATTTGGTTTGGTTGGTTTGTTTTTTTGTTTCATGTGTGGCAATTATATATATATATATATATATATATATATATATATATATATATATATATATATATATATATATATATATATATATATATATATATATATATATATAAGGTGGATAAATTTAACAAGTGATACATATGGTAATATTTTTTTAAGCATGGTTTTTTTTATTATTTTTATTAAACACCATTAGTTTAATAAATATCTCAACTTAAATCTGATCACAAATCTATATGAGAAAGATAGAGAAAGAGAGGTACCAAGTCCCAGGTACCAACGAGATTCGCCCCCTTTTAAACCCCTTTTTTTTAAATTGTTTTGGCATCGGCAATTCTAGTGCTTCTTGTTCACGTCTATAATCACAAGTCGTGTGTTGTTTTCACCATGGTTGTCAAAATCGCGATCTTGATCGTAGGATCGTACGATCCGAGGTATGAAAAATGAGTCGGATCGTAAACGGATCGTATTTGGGGTAGGATCGTAGGTAGGATCATAGGATCGGAATTCGATCCAATACTACCTTCCCTTGATTTTTTTTTAAAAATTTTTTTATTTTTTTATTTTTTTTGCAAATGAAATTTTTTACCACTTTATGTCTTTTACCAATTTACCATTTATCATTTTGTGTTGTGACTTATGAGTTATGACTAATATTTTGAAGCTTTTATAATGAAAAATTGAATGTTTGAAATATTTTTTATGTTCTAAAATTATAAATTAAAATTATGTTTTATTTTGTGGGATCTTAGGATCTTGATCCCGATCTTATGGTCTCGATCTTGCAAACCCAAAAACGATCCTACGTAGAATCCTGTTTTCACATTCCTGTATTTGAAGAATTTGAAAAAGAAACCCTCCAATTCTTCATCGTCTTCTCTAAGGCAGACTCCCAAATCGGTAATCTTCTCTCTCTTCTCTCTCCCTTCGCCGTCCCGCCCTTCTTCCGGCATCCACTACTTAGACACCTCTCTCTCTCTCTCTCTCTCTCTCTCTCTCTCTCTCTCTCTCTCTCTCTCTCTCTCTCTCTCTCTCTCTCTCTCTCTCTCTCTCTCTCTCTCTCTCTCTCTCTCTCTCTCTCTCTCTCTCTCTCTCTGTGTGTATAATTCTTCATCTTAAATCGCATCTTCTTATGGTTCAACCACCGCCGTTTCCTCTAACATAGCCTTCTTACCTGTATTGACCAGGGATGCAAACGCAGTTCTTTGTTACATGTCATGTGTTGATATTGTTTTCTGTAGCCCGATTTTCTATCTGTAATTTATCAGGTAAGGTTTTTGGGAATTATATACTTGAGCATCTTATTTTCGTTTCTGATTTTGATTTTTTTTTGTTTAGGTTAACTCATGAACGTCAGTTATTTGATCATATAACTTGGCACGGAGGTTGCTAACTTCAGTTAATGCATTATTGTGATGTTGATGCATTTTTGGATTTTTATTGACGCAATTATCATCATAATGGTTTAACTACCAATTCAATTTGCCAATCATATGTAATTTATATTTTCGTCTATGGTTATCATTTTTCTACTATTAATTATCCCTGCTTACTATACTAACATTGCAGTTTTACAGATTATTTATGTTCTGAGTTGATACTTGGTATAGGAAATGTTTGAAGGTTTAGTAAGGCAGGTGATATTAGGTTATCTTGGCCAATATATTAAAGATATACACAGAGAGCAACTCAAGATCACACTGTGGAATGGTAAGTCGCCGGTGTCTATCATGACCTTTTTTTGACTTAATGGCTTGCTACTTTCACTATTATCAGCACAATATATTTACTTTTTATTCATTTACATTTATGTAGTTTGAAGGGTATAACAACATAAGCAGAATACTCATACCATTGTTACCGCATTAATGGTTGACACGAATATGGCATTCGTGATTCATATTTTTAATGCCCATTTCTCATTCTTTTTTATTTGTAACTTGGTCTCCCTCCATGAACATTTTTTTATCGCTTTAGCGTCTCCTTGTATATTGTGGCGTATCATGTCAATATGCAATGAATTTCTTATACTATAATGTCATTTGTATGTATCCAACTTTTTGATCACAATCTATACTATTTGACTTTTTACGCTCCCTTTAAAGCAGAGGAAGTGTTCGCTTTTGATTATCTAGAACTTCCATTTGATGATGTTGAAAGACGAGAATTTGCTGGAAAAAAGGCCAAACTTGCTACAGCAGAATTGGCAAAGTTTGATTTTAAAATTTCTAATACTTTATTCTTTTTTCTAGAAATTTGGATTGTGCTATTGGTGAACTGGTTTTTGAGGAGAATCTTGTGGGGTGTATGATTTGGAGCTTTATATTGTGTTATTGGCTTCCTTTCAATCTCATGAAGGAAGGGTCAGTGTTATTGTTATTCTAGCTTACAAATTTATCAGACTACAAATATACAAATATTTAAAATATCTTTTTAGTTAAAAAAAAAGGTCAAACGGTCAAACCACGGGATCACCCGGATGATCTTTCGGTTGATAAACCATCTCTAAGCACTCCTTGGCCCTGTGAACCTTTGATTGCAGATAAAAACTCCCGTTCTTGGCATTCCTCTCAAATAGATTATCATACTTCTACACAAAGATTCAACAAATATATTACTTCTTAAATTCAAGAAAAAAAAAACAAAATTCATTAATTTGTTTATTACAGCATCCTATTCTCATTTTGACTGCGACAGCTTTGTACTGTGTTTGACATGCATTGGACTGATGTCAGTGGGGGGGCAAAAAGTTGCAACTTTTAATCCAACCCAAAAAGGTGGTGAGATAGGGACTCGTTCTTGTATGTGAAAAAGACGAAAATGCCCTTCTCAATTCTCATCATCAAAAATAGCCATGGAAAGTACTAACCTGTGCAATCTCCTCCCAGGATGACTGCTCGGTCACACCAAGAATTTGTCTGGCTTCTTGTTCAGTCATAGCTTTGCTTCCTCTACGCACAGCATTTTGTAATGTTTCTTGAGCAACCCCTGACTTTGAGGCATCTGCAATTTTGACACCAAAAGTTAAATAAATAAATACACATAAATAAAGAAAAGGTAAATTTCTCACATTATAACCCACCAATTGTATATTATCCACTAATGTTACAACATGTTGTAGTAGATGTTGATGAATAAGGCATGAAGTTAGAGACTTACTTTGGAGAGCCTGACGATATGCTTGAACCATTCCCCTAATCAAGATTCCAGAGCCCAATACAATCAAATTTGCAAGAATCTTAGCAGCCTGCATAAAGAAGAAAACATTTTAAAACTCTGATTTATATTATTAATGATGTGAAATTATGATATGTAAACCAATGAAGTTGTTTAAAGAATCAAATTGGATTTGGCTATGGCAGTTAATTCGTGGATTGTTATGTAGCGCAATCTTTACAAGTCTTCTAATATAAAATGTTAAGGAAAATGATTCAATTCAGATTACAATTACATCCTCGTAAACAATCTATTGAATTGCATCTTGAATTATTAATTATATATTGATCATCTATCATGGCATCAATGAAATTTAGAAAATGGCCAAAAGGCCAGAATCACAACAAAAAAGCACCTCATTTCATATATCTAAAAAAACACGGAAAATGTTGCAGAAAATGATGAAATCTCCAAATAAATCTATTAATAATCATGAACTAATCCAAAACCAACAAAAATAAATTAAATTGACTCGATAACAACTTTTGTGTCTAGCTCTTTAGAGCAAGTTGAGAGCTTCCTTTTTCATAAACAAGGGGAATTTTAAAAAAAATGAAAAAATAAAGTTAAAGATTCGTAATTTTCTATGAGATTCTTCGATAACCAGGTATAATAAAAGGAAATTGTGAATCGAGAGTACATAAAACTGCAGATGATAAAATATTATAACATACCATGACTGTAATTTCAGGACACCGATCAACGTTCTGTGAAATTTAACGAACCTCAAAGATTTCGTCAGAAAGTAATTTTAGGGTTTTGTTAGGGGCGAAGCAAATGTCGGGACGATGGAACTTGGAAAAGAAGGCAGGCTTGCAAAATCTACGGCATTATATACAAAAGGGTTATGTACATTACAGCCCCTTAACTTTATTTATTTCAGAATAAGCCATCAAACTTGTAAAACTATCTTTTTAGTTCTAATCATTTTTTTCAAAATTTGCACATGGGGAATTCTTAGATGTATATAAATTTTTGTACTTTTATTCATTGGAGGTCTTATATATAAGTTCAAACTAAAAATATTTAATTTTTTGTATGGATTATATAAGAGCTATTCACTTTCAAGCCAAATATCATATGATAACCATGTTTTCAACTTCTATATCACAAAATGACTATCAAGTTCGTAAAAAAACATATCACGAAATTACTTTCTTTAAGTGGTCTTGTCATCATTTTTCGCAAAAAATCAACTCAAGAATGCACAATGTTATGTCGTCAGTGAACTTTGTGGACTTCTAGAATAATTCACGAACTTAGTGAACTTTTTTGGAATATTAGCAATGTCTTAGTCTCCCACCAAAGCAAAAAGTGATTCTTCAAAACATACCAGTTTTAAGACTCGTTTCAATACATTCTGAAACATGTTTGATTTGTTCATAAAATCAAAGTTCCAAAAGAAAGATGCTTTAACTCGTTCTGCAAGATTAAGCTTGGATCATTAATCTTCCACCAAACATTTTATTGATATGTTCGTTTGAATAATGGTGGGTGTCCTACTACAAAGAACTAATGGATAGATGGTTGCAAATGACAGCCCATGCTAACCCTTAAGTTTTCCAATGTAATGTAATTTTTTTCATATAGTGAATATTGCCAAGCATGCTACTCCCAAAATCAGTGTTACACTTACATTTTGTTCTAAATCTGCCGTTATCCGAATATTCGACGCTTGTTTTTTATTAATTTATTTATTTATTTAACCCCAACCATTTATCTTCTAACATTTAAAAAAAAAACTCCTACATTATACTTATATTCATAAAAAACCTTAATTATCACTTTACCTTTCAATTAAACCACATTGCCGGTTTCCCCTTTGAAATGACCGGATGATACAGTGACATGGCATAAAATATATAAACAAATGACCGGGAAATTTTTAATGTTTATTTGGTTTAATAAAATCTCCATTGTATCATCGTCAACCTATCCACCCACCTTATACCACCTGCAGAACTTGAAACCACCACCCATTTTAGTCGATTGCTACAGGTTCACCATCTCACCATCAACACACCACCATCTTCTTCATATCTCTGACCCACCACCCTTTGCCACCAGACCACCTTACACTGTCACCATCACCCTAATACGGATCACCACCATTGCCATCAAGAAAAACAGGCAAAACCGGTTATCAAACCACCAATAACAAGAGTACACAACCTATTTCACCCTTATACCACAAACATCCACAACCTCCAAATTAACCATCATCACCGTCGTAATCTCCACAACCTATAACACCTTTCACCTGAACCTGTTACAACAACAACCAGAAATCCTCTAAACGATTTCACCACCACATCCACCTATTTCAACCGTGAACAATCACCAGCCGTACACCACCGGTATACCTTCACCAACACAGCCCCGTCGACCACCTTCAAGCCACTTGCTTCTAATCGAACGCCATCGTAAACCACCCTCTTTGCCATCATCACTGTCGGAAGAACCTGTTCAGCCACTATCAATGCCAAATACAATCTACACCACCCTTAAAAACCACCTTAAAAACTCTAACCACAGGATCAACCCATCTTAATGGTTAACCCACCAAACCACCACCGTATACCACGTACTCCAGTTGAACCACCGGGCTATGGTTGCAAAAGAAACGATCGAAAAGAGAAGTAGGGCACACATTTAAGCGTGGGGCTAAATGTGGGCCAGGTTAATTTTTTTCAAATCATCCGGTCATTTTATAAAGTAACCGGTTACATGGTTTTTATTGAATGGTAATGTTAAAATAAGGGTTTTTGTGAATGGAAACCTTCTTAGAAGATAAATGATTGGGTTTTTCTGTATTTTTTCCTTGCTTTTTTTTTGCCAACGATTGTATTTATTGGACATACCAAATTACATTTTTCTTTGGTTAAAAAGAAAGACTTTTGTTGCGGTTGTCTTCGCAACGTTTTGGTGTATTTGGTCGTTTCACAATGATTGGTTTAAAGACCCTTGTATGGAGTAGGTATCATACAAAAAATGTTTAATTGGAAAGATCGGTTTAAAGACTTGTATTAATTGGAATAGGTATCATACAAAAAGGTTTGATTGGAATGGTAGATTTTAAGACCCTTCTTTGTAATCTTCTATCTGGTTGCTAGTCTCAAAGAAAGCCTGACAATAAAGAACCTAATGAAAGAATATTATCGTCTTTTTCGCAAACAAGAATGAGATGTCATATTTTGAATTATAAGTAAAGTATCCACATAATGTTCGGTTGGCAACCACATAGAATATGAAAGACGAATTGGATACATATTCTTCTCATAACTTCTCAGATAATTCACGAATTAATTGGTCATTTTGTGATAGAAGTTTGCCTTTTGGATGATATTTAGGTTTCAATTTTGGTCATTTTAATCAATAGCTCTTTCCATAAATCTAAAATTATCTACTTATTGGTTAATATCATTATAAAGAAATTAACTATATTTGGGAAATGACACATACGACCTATGAACTTTCTAAAGTTTACTTATTTAATCCCTAAAGTATTTTCGTTATTTTATGGGGGCATAAACTTGTTTTGTCGAGTCTATTAGGTCCTTTTGTAAGAATTGAAGGGGTAAACCGGTTACCCCTTGCCACATAAGCCTTTCTTATGGCCCCACTTCCCTTGACCCAGGTATGTAATAAATTATAAATCATTTTCCTTTCTTTCTTCAAATACCTAGAAATTGGATCTTACACAAATCCACGAGGTGAATCGTATTTCCTTTAGAGGTGAATTGTATTCCTGTTTTGCACATTTCGAGTCTCTAGAAGAGTCATCTGATGACTGGGTGCTTCGAACGTGAGTATCAAATGAGAAGGGGGTGAATCAGGTTTGTTGGGTTTCAATGGGTGCATCAAATTGATCATTAGTATCAGATGAGACCAAACTCTCTGAACTAAGATTGAAATAATCAGACACCATCATGTGGTTTTCATTTGCGATTTTAGGATATGGGAATTCGATTTTGTCAAACTTGGCTAATTCTGAATCGGCGTCAGCTCCCTTCACAGGAAGTGGCGGCGGGATGGCAATCACGTCCGGTGAAGCTCCGGTGTATGATAACGATAAGTGAACGAAACCAGAAGGCGAGTTGAAGAGATCGGTGGAAGATAAAGTGAAATCGTTTTCCAATTTTCCGTTTTTGATGAGGATTTCGGATAAAGGGATCAAAGCAAAACCAAGCAATTGATGTTCAAGATAATTTCTCACCCTACTTAGCATGTATATCTCGCACTTCAGAGAAGATTCAATTATGGGAACGTTAATCCGAAGGGTTTCGTTAAAGACTGGATTTTGTCCACCTCCATTGATGGTCTGAGTGGTGCTTGATGAATGTGAACATCTAGAACACCAATAAACGATTCGGGTACTTTAGGGTGATGTGGCAAAAATAATTGACTTTCCAATGGATGATGAGGCAAAAATAGTTGACTTGACAATAAAACCGTCTAAAATAAGTTATGGCGACTAAAAAAACATGTTGTTTCCTATCTTATGCCTACATAAAGCAACGAAAATATTTTAGGGACTAAATGGGTAAACCCTATAAAATTCATAGGTCGTATGTGTCATTTTCCCTATCTGTGTACATACATAACAAAAATACATAACCTTTTTTTTTAATTGAAGAGTGTTTGTGCTCATGCTTTGATAAAGCATCAAAAAGTTAAAGTCATTTAGTGAATTAGGTTTTCAATAATTACAATTTTTTTTCTCATAACATGAACATGAAGAGACCAAAAAAAATATATTTCTACTTTCTTGCAACCTTTTCAACAATTAGCAATGATACCTGGCAAATAGATTATTAATGATGTATAATTGTATATATAATCTTTTTTAATAAAATTTACAAGAATCACCATCGTCATTAACAATACCTGTGTATTTATTCATACTCATTATAATAAATCCATGGCTGATAACAGCATATGAAAACACAATTCAAGAATACAAAAACCCATCTTCAAAAAATTTATCGGACTACAAATATACAAATGTTTAAAAGATCTTTTTAGTCAAGAAAGTCAAACGGTCAAACTACGGGATCACCTGGATGATCTTTCGGTTGATAAACCGTCTCCAAGCATTCCTTGGCCCTGTGAACCTTTGATTGCAGATAAAAACTCCCGTTCTTGGCATTCCTCTCAAATAGATTATCATATTTCTACACAAAGATTCAACAAATATATTACTTCTTAAATTCAAGAAAAAACAACATACTTTCATTAATTTGTTTATCATAGCATCCTATTCTCATTTTGACTGAGACAGCTTCATACTGCGTTTGGCATGCATCGGACTGATGTCAATTGGGGGGCAAAAGTTGCAACTTTTAATCCAACCCAAAAAGGTGGTGAGACAGGGACTCGTTCTTGTATGTGCAAAAGACGTATATGCCCTTCTCATTATCATCATCAAAAATAGCCCTAGAAAGTACTAACCTGTGCAATCTCCTCCCAGGATGACTGCTCGGTCACACCAAGAATTTGTCTGGCTTCTTGTTCAGTCATAGCTTTGCTTCCTCTACGCACAGCATTTTGTAATGTTTCTTGAGCAACCCCTGACTTTGAGGCATCTGCAATTTTGACACCAAAAGTTAAATAAATAAATACACATAAATAAAGAAAAGGTAAATTTCTCACATGTTGTAGTAGATGTTGGTAAATAAGGCATGAAATTAGAAACTTACTTTGGAGAGCCTGACGATATGCTTGAACCATTCCCCTAATCAAGATTCCAGAGCCCATTACAATCAAATTTGCAAGAATCTTAGCAGCCTTCATAAAGAAGAAAACATTTTAGAACTCAGATTTATATTATTAATGATGTGAAATTATGATATGTAAACCACTGAAGCTGTTTAAAGAATCAAATTGGATTTGGCTATGGTAGTTGATTTCTGTAGCACAGAATCTTTGCAAAATAAAATGCTAAGGAAAAAGATTCATTGCAGATTTTACAATTACATCCTCCTAAACAATCTATTAAATCGCATCTTGATCATCTATCATGGCATCAATGAAATCTAGACAAAGGTCAAATGCCTCATTTCATACATCTAAAAAACATGGAGAATGTTGCAGAAAGTCCTAATACATCTATTCATAATCAAGCGCTAATCCAAAACCAACAAAAATAAACTAAACTGACTCGATTACACCTTTTGTGTCTAGCAGTTTTGAGCCAGCTGAGAGCTTCCTTTTTCATAAAGAAGTGGAATTTTTAAAAAAATAAAAATAAAAAAGTTAAACATTCGTAAAAATTTCTTCGATAACCAGCTATAACCAAAGGAAATTGTGAATCGAGAGTACATAAAACTGAAGATGATAGAATATTATAACATACCATGACTGAAATTAAATTTCAGGACACCGATCAACGTTCGTTCTGTGAAATTTAACGAAACTCTCGTTGAGTGAACCCAGCCAGAATCAACTCCGATTTGCGCCGGGACGAACGACGTGAACGGTGACGAGGCTGAAGTCGTTTCCGATTTGCGAGGCTGAAGTCGTGAACGAACGACGAGGCTGAGAGGTTTCCGATTCGAGAAGGACACAGACAGATCAAAGAAGGACCGAAGCAGGGATGGGAGGCGGACGCGGATGGGATACGGGGCACGAGTCGAGTCGACTGATGAATACAAATGAGATTAGGTGAACTTGTGGATCCTAAACCCTATTCGAGTTGTGAGTTGTGAATCGGTTTTTAGCAGCCCAAATATTAACAAGCCCAAAATTGTTTTTATTATAATTTAACCATATAATATATTTATAACATTAAAAAAAATTAAAATTTTATATATAATTAAATGGGTCATCTTTGAGTTGAAAATCTTGACCCTAATCCTAACCGTTTATTTTTCGTGTCGTGTTGTGCCAACCCGCGTACATAAACAGGTCGAAAGACCCTAACCCGCTAACTTCGTGCCAGGTTATCGTGTCACGCCAGATTTTGTCAGGTCTAAGGTAGACTTATAAAATAAAATGTTCTAATGGGAAGAAATGAAAGTTGAAGTCAAAAATAAACAAAGCAATGAGACTATGTTCACTAATCGCTATTCCTTGCATTTAACCTTTAAACAAAATAAGCTCAAAATAATGGCATAAAAGTTATTTCTTGTGATTTGTATAAACTGATTATATGATCCTCTAAATAATCGAATAATTATAAGCAAAAATGGGTTACCTCAACACTAGAAACTTATTATGGCGACATGATTTGTAAAATTCTGTACCACTAAAACTCAAATGTCTAAAAAGATTGTCTTAAAGCCTAAAGATGAAGAACATACTTACAGAGCCAAAAGAAAGCGAAGATCAACATAAACAGTTCCTTTAATTATGATGACAAAACTGAATCCAAATGCAAAAAAATAACAGCCAATAAATACACCAATTACATAACTTCACACATCTAGAGGGTGTTTGGAATATTCAATGTTTTTTTTTTGGTAAAATTACACGGACTTCTTTTTATATTATGACTTTTTTTGTTATTATAACTAATAATTTTTTTTAAAACTAATAATAATTTTTTTTATTGTATTTACATCCATAACCTAAATTACATTCAGGTATCATATAAGCATCTAAAGAATGTCATTGATAATTGAAAAACAAACACATACACAATTGGCCTTTGTAATCGATTCTCATTTCACATTCAAAAGTAAACTACGCATTCAAAGATATTTCATCATTCAAAATAAGTTCTTATTTCACATTCCAATGTAAACTACACCTTCAAATCAAAGGAATTGACAACAAGGCAAGTTAGTTTAGATACTAGAAAACATGTACCACAAAACCACATTTTTTTAGTTCCAATTCAAATCAGAATACATATCAATGGAAAATTCAGAGAACCAAAAAAATTAATCTAATAAGAAGGAAAAGGATTGTTGCAAGAGAAAAAGGAAATCAAAACCATAAACAACAAGGAAAGAAAGAAACACGAGTCCATGTTGTCTTAGGTGTTGTTTGTTTTTTCAGAGACAAAAATGTCTGCAGTCTGCGGACCATGTCTGTAAACCTCTGCAGTTGAAGAGGTGGAACAAACGTCTATAGTCTGCAAATAGAAGACTGTTTGTTTTTTAAAGTCTACAAACTACTAAAATAAACTGAAATTTTAATAAACCTGTTTTTTAAACTTAAAAGAGTTTTTCAACATGAAAATTTAAATAATTTTAGTTTTATAACATTGAAATATAAATCTTACAACCACAAATAATATATATTTTAAAAAAATATACAACATTAAAATATAAATCAAATCTCTAAAAAATCAAATAACTCCTTCGATATGTATTTCAATGGTGGTATAATAACTGGAGTCGTTGATCAATTAAAAAATCATACAACATTGAAATATACATAGTTCAAGAATCATCCAACAACAATAACAACTAATTTCAACAAATTGAACAACATTTCTCATATTTTAGTAAAGTATATACATTTTCAACAAAGAAATTTGATTTAACATCTAATTTCAACAAAGAAATCGTATCTCAGCAAATGTACATATGATTTTATAAGATATTGCAACAAAAAAATTTGGTCTATTGTTGTTCCCCACCAAAAACATAGACCACCACCATCACAATTCTCAGGTCAAACTCTCGCTTCACTTTAGTTCTTCCATTTTCCCCAACCAAATTTTAGGTTCTTCAATTCTTTAGTTATGTATGGTAATTCTAATTTTGATAATTTTATAATGGGAAAAGGGGGTGGGTGTTTCCCCAACAAAAATAGAACATCATCGGTAGTTGAATCGGATCCCGATTGTGCTCCGAATCCGGAAGATAATGACGATGATGATTCAATTCCAATTGAAACAGTAAATTCGATTGTGGAAACAAGGAAATTGAGAACTTTCATTACTTTTTACTTGATGTATGGGTATGTTGAGAGTCTCGCGAGGTATATTAAGAAAGTAGTGGATGAAATTGATGGAGTTGAAGGTGTTTTGTTTAGGGTTACCTGAAGTCGACGTTGATGGGGGAGGACCTAGACGGCGTCGGTTCTAGTCGTCGACATAAGGAAGATGTTGGTGGAAGCAAGAGGATGACAGCGACGGTAGGAAAGGGAAGAAGAAGATGATGATCGGTGAATGAGGGAGGCGGTGATAGTTGAGAGAGGGAGGCGTTGATGTTGAGAGGGTGTGTTTTTTTTTGGTTTTTAGGGTTTAAGAGTTGTGAAGATGTTGGAAGACACAAGGCCAGGTCTGTACCAAGAAGACCACACACAAACGTTTTTACGTATGCAAACTTCAAAAAGACAAACACACTGCAAAGTCCAATGTCTGCGCGTGGTCTGCATGGCGCAGACTGAAGAGGTTACACAGATCTGCGAGAAAAAAACAAACAACCCCTTAGGGTTTTAGACACCAGAAAACAAGCGAAAATAAGAAGATCGAGAACAGCATAAATCGATAGCAAGGAAAAGAAATTATCACATGAACGCAAGCAGACAGAGAAACAAAAAAAAGGAACCTTATATGTGGGATGCGTTGATCTTTGGTGTTGTGGTGGGCTACGTCGATCTCCGGCAGTGGCAACGAGATGGCTAACGGTGGCGATCAGGGGAGGTATGGCTCGAGGAATCAATGACAGGAGAGAAACGATGAGCTCTGATGTGTTTGTTGTATAAGGTTATTAGGTTAATGGGTATAATGGTAAATTTCTGTAAATGGTGAAATAAAGAGTTTTTGATAAGTAAGGGGCAAGTGACTTATACAAAATGACTTATTCGAGGTCCCAAAAAACTATAAGCTGTTTTTAAAAAATCCTTAATCAAACACTTTTTTTTAACTAATACCGGTGTCACGGTGTGGAACCGTTAATAAGTTAAAAAGTTCCTTACTTAAGCTTTGCCAAACACTCTCTAAATCACAGACTATCAAAACTGAAAGAACAAAATGTTATTCTAGGTCTGTTATTGTGCGGAATATTCAACGTTTGTTTTTTTTGTTTGCCGATGATTGAATTTATTGGGCATACCAAATTACATTTTTCTATGGTTACAAAGAAAGAGTTTTGTTGCAGTTGACTTCACAACAATTTGGTGTATTTGGTAGTTTCACAATGGTTTGTTTAAAGACCCTTGTATTAAGTGGAGTAGGTATCGTACCAAAAAGTTTGATTGGAAAGATTGGTTTAAAGACTTTCGTATTAATTAGAGTAGGTATCATACAAAAAGGTTTGATGGAATGGTTGGTTTAAAGACCCTTGCATGAACTTTGATTCTTTGTAATTCTCTAGCTCTTTGCTAGTCTCAAAGAAAGGAAGAACCTAACAAAGGAAAATCATAGTCTTCTTCGCTTGCTCACTAGAGTGAGCTCCTTAAGTTGAGGAACATGAATAGGGTGTTATATTTTGAATTCTAAGTAAAGAATCCACATAATGTTTGATTAGCAGAGACATGGAATATGAACGATCTCACTTGATATTTTTCACATAACTTCTTATATAATTTACAATTAATTGGTCATTTTGTGATAGAAGTTGAAAAAACATGGTTTTTAGATGATATGTGGACTTCAAATTTGGTCATTTTAATGAATAGCTCTTTCCATAAATCTAAAGTTATCTATTTATCGGTTAATATCATTATCAGGAAATTAATTATATATATTTACATACACAACAAAAAATTATGTAAGATGTTTGTAATCTTCCATCATGTTCATTGAACATCCAGGAACTTCCTTTTCTTTTCCCTTGCCACTTTCTCGAGCCTGAAGACCCTCTTCAATTCTCAAGTGAATGCCATGTTGTACTAGATATAATTCTTATTTTTTGGTTTTTCAATGTGTGTTTAAAGACTTTCCAGGATGGGGCAATTTTTCAATAACACTAGAGACAGAAATGGATTCATCCATTTGCATTTAGTGTTGTTCAAATTGTCCCAAAATCCTCATGAGTTCATTGTATTGTTCCATGACAGACCTTGACTCCACCATCTTGTAATTATTAAAATTACTGACAAGGAATTTCTTACTTGAGGCATCCTCTGCCATGTATTTAGATTCAAGGGCATCCCATATATCCTTCGCAGATTCTTGATTTTGATAGATATCAAAGAAAGAGTCATACATACCATTCAAAATGTGCCCACGATAGATGTAGTCATCATTTTTCCATATGCATCTTCTCATGGTGTGTTCAAGGGTTTCATCCTCCATCGGTTCTGGTGTAGGAGTGCTCAAAACATGAACAACTTTCAGTGTAGTGAGAAGGAAATGCATCTTCTTGTTCCAACGACCAAAAAATCAACGCCTTCAAACTTATCCAACTTCCTTAATTTGGAATTCATGTCTTTAACAGATTCTTCCATTTATATTCTTTCAAATCGTAGATTTTGACTGCTAGATTTTGGGGTCTTAAGAATTTCAATATACTTGGATATTTCTTGGATATTGATTGCAATCAATTTCCAAAATCTTTGATTTCGATCCTATAGCCTAGGGTATCATGAAATCAAATTTGGGATAATCCAAAGAATTTTAATTTAGAAGTCAGGCCACTTCTAAATCAGAAACATTGAAAATACGTTGATGTTTTATGTTCTTGAAAGATAGAACAAATCAATGTATGATTTTTGTGTATGTAAGTTCCAACCTGTTTTCTAGAACTAGAAAACGTTCTTATACTAGGGGGAAAGTAGTTAAATGGAAGTTGCATT